TGTAATAATTCTTTTCTTTAATAAAATTCTAAATTACTTAACCCATAAATCATACTTGTCTTTTAAATACATTTAATCGATAAACCTTCAGAAGCTCTCCATAAATCGTATCATAAAAGTCTTAAAGCTAAATCCCTTGTTAATCTTGCATTAATACTAATTTTCAGTCATTAGTATCGTAAGATAACACCATCACAAATAAACTTAGTAAAGCTAAAAAAACTCTAGAATTGCATTATAATAATTTTTGTGAAATTTTATCTGAATTTATATCAATCAAAGCATCTATTGAAATTCTTAAAAATGATTTAACCTAACATTATACATTTATCTGAAAAGCCAATTTCGATTAACAAAATGGAATTGGAAAGTTTGCTAGACTCTACCTCAGCTTCAACTAATTCAAACTCTTCTTTTGAAGGTTTCAATTTATCTAAAATTTTAGATATTATTTCAGACATTAAAATTTGCTTTAAACAACACTTTGATTAGCTTATAAAGACAAGGAATTATACTTGTAATGAGATGTATTTCTCGGTATTAGTGAATATTTGTAGTTTGAAGAAAATATTAAGATTTCAATAGTGAAAAATTATTATAATGGTGTTAGTAGCAGTAAAGTTAGCACTGTTAATCAGATAAATGAATGGGTAGCTAGTTTTAGGTAATAGAAAGGAATTATCAATCTTATATATTAGACTTAACAGGTATTTATGGTTTATTCCTTCTTGCTTCTTTATTATTTTTACTTGACCAGTCTTTTCTTATATTTTGCTTTACAAAAATATAATAAATAGCTTTGTTTTGATTTTTTAAAACTATTTGTATATTTTATAAGTGATATAAATAATAATACATTCGCAAATTTAGTCATATGATTTGGTAATTGGTAGAAAATTCTGCATAATAATGATATCAAACATGACCATTTTTTATAGTTTTGCTCAAAAGTTCTGATATATAATTTAATAAAAAACTGTTCCTAATTTTATATATCACCTTTCTATCATGATGATTCAGAATAAACATATTATCCTGTTTGTATTAATACAATCAATAATACGTATATATACTAAATTCTAATTCTATCTATTCTGAGACTAGATGTAATAGAATTATATTTTTTTTTTGATGTATATAGAATAGGAAAGGGGTAATATATTTTTAAGTAAATTACTACTATATCATTGATTATCCTTTGTGATGTGATCATATAAAGATATATTTTAAAAGTCCTATTAATTCTAGACTCTATGTAAATTATATAAAAAAGAGACATTCTAGTTAATAAATCTATTTATCTGCCTTATGCATATAACAAACAAAAAATAAGCGAAATATTCAAACAAACTATAATTTATATTATTAATATTATTTCTAATCGAACAAATAAGTATATTCTGTAAAGTATTATAAGTTATATTGATTTATTACTCAGTTGGCTTTTTGAAACATATTATTACGATATTAATTGATTTTTCACTATAGATATTCTAAAATAAAATAAATAAAATGGACATATTACTCTTCTTATTATATATTAACATTTTGATTAAATTTTTAATCATCATTACATCATTATACATACAATAGACATAGTATTACAAAAATAAATTTCTGTAATGAAATATTATTATCTTATTTAATTAACTCTATGTATATTATTAGTATAGTAAATTTATGATAATATACTGAATTCTTAATACTTGATGCAGTATTATACTTGTGATAAAAAAATTAAGCGTCAAATTTTAGGTAGACTGGAATATTCTGAAAATGAAATATAATGGTAAGTATAAATCAGAAATATTGCATTGATTATTTTTTTATCTCAATTACTAATCTTTCAAATTTATTCTGTAAGTTCAAAATTTCATAATCTTAAGAAAGTTCTCTTATGGAAAATATTATTTTATATAATATGTGCAGGTGAGAATAATATAGATAGGCAAAAATTTGTGTGAGATAATTTATTTCAGAAATCTGGTTTAGAAAAAGAGTATTAATGTAAAAATCTTGTAATTAGCAATAGTAATATGAAAAAAAACAATTAGTATAGAAATTTACAATAGAGTAAAGAAATAACTTAATGTTGAAACTTGTATTAAATAATTTAGGATTTATATACTTTCTTCCTCTTTGATAGCATCATATATTTTAATTGCAATCCTCTATATTTCTTATTCAAAAACTTATGCATGTATCTAAAAAATTAATAAAGTTTGCTCACAATTCTGGCTTGATTTTTATTAAAAAAATTTGGATCTATTCTTGTGATATATTTTAAAGCCTATAGATTTATGCATTTGCATAATTTTGCATTTATGCATTATAATTTTGCATAATATATGCATCGCACTTTTGAGGTAATTTCCTCATTTTTGCATACTTCATGTGATTTTATATTGTATTTTATTGTATTTACCATTTAAAAAATAAATTTTATTTAATCATCTGCATCTTTTTTTTACAAAATAGTTATGGCATCTGAGTGATTATCAAAAGATTCAAATTTTCAAATAAATTTTCGTTTAGAAAATAAAAAATTATACTGAAATTTTACAATCATGTAATTAAACATAAAAGCAAATCTATTGTAAAAGCTCATATAAACTCACCAACTCATTTCAAAAGAAAAAATAATACTAAAGCTTTACAAACAACTATATTAAGTATTTATCAAATTAGATTAGAAAAATAAAAAATTAATATACATTTTGTTGAGGTATTTACCAAAGCTGAGAAACTTAAGATTTTTTATCTATAGTGTATTTGTTTTTTAGTTTTAAATATTTATATTAACATTAATAATTAAAAATTAAAGGAGGAGCTATTGTTAATGCAAATTATTTATGTGAAAGATATCTTCCAAATGTTTTTGAATCAGCAAAAAATAAGTTAATGAATGAGTTATCTAATCATAGAATTTCTGTAACTATGGATGAAACAACAGATAGTTGTGAAAGAAATGTGCTTAATATATTATTTAGTTTTTATAAATCAAACTAAATTAGTGAATACCATTTTTTTAGAAGCTGTAAATCATACAATAATTGTACAAGCTTTTGTTAATATTATTCATTCCTATAATATTCCTTTTATTAATTTAATATTTTTTATTAGTGATAATATATCATATATAAAAAAAGCATTTACCAATATTTTATTTCTATTAATATTACACTTATTTCATAACACATGTTTTGTTCATATTTATAATCTTATTGGTGAAACTTAGGTGGATTTGAATACTTTAAATTATTAGATATTATAATGAAACATATTAAAACTTTATTTGTATACTCAGCAGCAAAAAAAAAAAGATAAAAAAAACATTTAATTTCAAAATCTGTACTTTTAAATACAAATGAAAGTTTATTTGATGAAGAAAACATACAAGATTTATCTGCTAATTTACCTTCTTTACCTATTAAAACTAGATAGAATTCTTGGTTTAAATTTTAAATTTGTAACTTGAATAAATATTATTAACATTTTATTACATTTTTTATTGAAAAATCTGCAAAAAACAAATGCTAATGCTATTAAAGAATTAAAAGAGATTTTTTAAAATCAAAGTCAATGTTTTTATATAGATATTTTAATTAAATTTATTTCATTTAATGCTAATGCACAAATTTAAATATTATAATTAAAATATTTAAAATTTTTTTTTTTTTTAGATTAATATTGAATTTTGAATTTTTTAAAATAAGAATTGAACAAACAAGAGTTTTTTTACAAAATGGAATAAACAATCCACCATTCAGTGTAGAAATAACATAACTTTTATCTTATAATCATCAAAATTATGATTACTTTACTCCAACTTTTTCTGAAGCTTTTAATATAATATTAAAAGAATTTGAAAAACATAAATTTTCATTCTACTTTACCATTATTCAACATTATTCAATGTTTTAATCCAAATAGACAAATTTTAGCTAATTATAATCTAATTCCAGAATTTAGAATCCTACTAATTTATTATAACTGAATGGACAATTTATTGTAGTTTAGTAGAAATTTTGAGAAGGGTGATTTGGATTTAAATAAATATTGGCAAGAAAAAAAAAATAGCTTTTAATTTATATATGGTTACCTATTTCAGGAGTTGATGTTGATAAAAGAATTTTGGATGATAGATGCAGATCGCTTTCAGAGAATTCTATATAAATTTTAAAATGCATAATTTTTAATTTTGCATCGCACGAACCCGTGGGCTCTACAAACGCTTGATACCACATGATCGATTTATCTTTAAAATGTGTATTAGTCGCGTACTCGTGTATCATTGCGTATTAGTCATGTCCAGAAACCACGAATACTTTGAGCGAAAGCCTGAAGGTTGGAGTATTGTTGACTTCCTAAACCGATGCGATTCAGAACTGTTTGACGCAAAATTAGATAGATATATAAAAAGTCTCAAAACTATCGTTGACGAGCAAGGACAAGGCGAAAGGGCTGAAAAGGCGAAATGTCTTCTCGAAGAATTTAAAAAGGCTAGTAAAAATTCTTTTAAGCGTGGCGTGAACGAGAGCCTGCTTGGTTGTTGTTCATTCAAGGCTGCTTGCTGAGCCACGAAACTGGTGCTGGCGCACAGGTGACCTGCTTGGTTATCTGATGCCAAAGGCTGTTCGCTGATCCAGCACTGGACCCACTGGGGCACAGGTAGCCTGCTCGGTTGGCTGATGTTCCGGTGGGATTAGAAAATATTAATTAATATTTCCAAAATTTATTGCTAGGGCCCTGATCGTAAAAAAGCAAATGAATGGGAGAAAAAGCGCTCGCAGAGACAGGTTAACATTCACCAACCGAATCTAAACGCGGGGACTTTAATAAATGGAATAAATCGAGGAATATTCAAATGTATTTACAGTGAAACAAAACTTCTGTCAAAAAAGGTACGGATGTGTAATTTATGAGAATTAGCAGAATTTTGGCATCTTGATATAACTCTTTCTTCATGCATTTAGTCCGATGATGACGATGATTTCCAATCCGTGCCTGTCCGTCAACAAAAGCGGAAAAAAAATCTATCGATACCAAAGGTTAGGATATAATAATAAAGCTTTTGATATAAAATTTTTTACGCGAGCATTTTCTACTATTTATTGCGTGAACAGGCCGAAACTACAAAGAATACGCCATCATCACTACCAAAAGCAGTACCAGGAGTATCACCAGGAAGTGGAAAATTTATTTTTAATGTAAGAATTATACTAGATAATTGGTATTTTTTCATATTTTAAAAATAATATTCCTCCACCATGACTCTTATGCACAGGATCAACGACTACAAACTTCTGATCCGTCATATCTGTCTTTGAAGAAGACAATCAACAGCCAAGAAGAAGTGAATGAGAAGATCAATGATTATGTAAAGGTGGAGGAAAGTGCCGGAGATCAATTTGTAGAATGGATAGAAGATCATAAACCAACGTCAAAAATATGTCGATCGTGGATCCTCCGGAATGGTACTAACGTTGGAGAGATATTAGCAAGAAATGTGGAAACCATTCCGGAGGCCCAAAAATGTTTAAATGAGTTTATTGAATTGTCAAAGGCCAATGAATTTTGATGAATATGTTTAATCATGGGATTTTTCACTCGTAGTCTCGCTTATTGGAACATACTTGATCTTACTGAGGATGGCCTAATAAAATCTTTTTTTTCAAAGAATGACTTGAAGAGATTACAGAAAGCTTCGAAAGGGAAGTTACTTTAATCGAATCAGATATACCGGATGTTGTGACATTTTTTTTCAATGAAGTTGAGAAGGTTGGTAAGGTTTTCTTGTTATAGCATTTTAAATGTTGCTGACCAATTCATCTTTAGATAACAAAACAAGAAAACGCAAACATTGTTAAGGAAATCGAAAATTTATCTCCAGAATTAATTGAAAAGAATAATCATGTTGAGCTAACAAAAGAGGAGAAAGATATCAGACGTGCTATAATAACATAGTAAGTTAATCAATGTAGGACTACTTTATATCTTTTGATTATTCATTTTCCAATTCTTGTCACAGTACAGAAAAACTAAAAGGACTCGAACTACCCATGAATACAGTCTGATCTTCATTTGATTAACCCGTTGTTTTTCCAATTTTTGTAGTGGTGAAATCGCCTGTTGGGCTTCATCTCGGCGCAGGAATGAAGGGCGTTCGATTGTCCTTCGAATAAATAATAAACTTTTTATCGTTCGCGTGTCATTAATTGGGTTTTCGTAAAAAAAAAAAATATTTGCAAATCGCACGAATAGGCCAGAAATGTGATTTTAGGGGTACGTTAAAAAACAGTGTTAATAGTCTCGAAGCAATAATTGGGCTCAGAAGGAGGGGTCTACCGGTCGCCCATCGCAAAAAGATTTTTGAGGATCGTATGATCTTTCCGTGGCTATGCGTGATGTTTTATATGATTTTTTCAAGTCTAATTCGCACGCACCTGGAGACGATCTCCACCGCACGTATGTACTCGGAATCCAATCTTGGGGTAAGCAGACAAATATAATGATTAAATTTGAAAATTTAGTAACTAATATTTTTAGTTCTCATGCTAAGGGTGGCTTCACGAAACGTACGGAATGGGTTTCCGAGGTTTCAGTCGTTTTGATCGTCGGGCTGCGGCTTAAGAAATTACGGCTTTCTTTAGTAGTGATCTGCAAAATTATAATAGCAATCATTCTTTTCGAATTACCTCCACTTCTATTAGTCCAATAACCTTGTATTTATATTCGTTGGAAAGCTCTCGATGAGACGGTTCTAATGATCGTATTTCTATTGAAATGTAATCATTAAGTCGAAAGTTATTTCATTAACATTCCCCTTCTTAAAGAATGAATATTATCCAATGAATTTTAACGTGTTGTTTTCCTTATTATTGATTTCCTTGTTCACGGATTTCTAATAATAAAGTTTCCAACTCATTTGAAATCATTCCATATGATTATTAATTTTGTTGATCAATTGCAATTCAAACAGGTTTTCAACCTAGGAGCAATCATATGATGATCAACAACAAATGTAAATCAATAGTTATTTGTTTATCTTTCTGCAGGAGAGGAATTTTCATGATCTTGAGAATCTGCACAGCCACTTCATTTTCATTATAAATATTTTGCCAAAAATCTCTTCTAATTTCCTTATAATTTTTAGTCTTTTACAAAAATTATTGCAAAATTTAAAAATGGGAAAATCTCAACGCCAACGACATTTCAACCATCAATAAGCCAGTCTTTATTCATGATAAGAAGAAGACCACTGACAAATAATTGATGACTTGGAAATCAAAGTTTATCAGCTTAGGCAGCAATTTGATACATTAAACATAAGACCAAATGATCTTTCCTCTTCTAATAATAAGTATCGAGCTAGATATCGAACGCTTAGAGAAGAATACAACAATCTTCTTTTTTGGTTCAACTATTCATAATCAGAAGTCAACTGCCTTCAAGGTCTAGAAACAGTTGAATAAGCTCAAGCTTTAGTGAGAGACACTGCTAGATTCTGGAAAAATTTCAATATTCTTTTGATACAACTTCAGGACTGTAGTGAAAAATTCAATTTTTCTTTTAATGTTCATTTTCACGACTAGATACTATTAAATTTACTCAAGGGGGATGTTATACGCTTCGCCGTCCTTGAACTACGCTTTATCGTATGCTTCGGCTGTTCATAAGATTATGCTCCTCTTCCTCTCTTTTGTAGCAAAACATTTTGTTTTTCCTTTTTATTGTTAATATAGTTTTTTTAAATTTTCTTTGTAATTTTCAAATATTTAATAAAACTCTTGCGTATTATCACACTTTGCCTATTAATAAATTTAACTACGTCTAAAATGTAAAATCTATAAAATACTAAATAATAAAATAAAATAAAAATAAAAAATAAAAAATAAAAAAAATTAAAATTTGAACTGCGTCACATTATCACTTTCTCCTTTAAAAAATGAGTACTGCAAATTAAAATGGTTGACATAATGTTTGATATTCAACTGTTTTTAATCGCTCAATTAAAAATAAAGTGGTGAATTTTGTACAATAAATTTATTGTAAATTGTCTTCAAAATAAAATAAGTTCTTTCAGCTCTTCTATAGTATGGAGTTATATTTTATCTAATTAAAATTTTAGAAATATTGCATGTGTTAATTATCATACCTAAGTAATATATATAGGTTAAGGTAGGAATACGTTGGTGTAATTTTGCAGATCTAATAATCTGCCTATAAATTGATTTCAATTTGAATTCGATTGAATCTGAGTTAAGATATAGAGGTAGGATTGTAAGGATATTTTGTAACTCAATTTCAAGAATATCAAGACTAATAAGATCAAATAGTGATGATATTTTTGCTTGAACTTTTTAGTTCAAGAAAATAGTCCTATATATATATTCTAGGCTCCAAAATATTTTTATAATACATTTTAAGTTGATCACTATATATAAAATTCTTAACCAATCTTTCATTCATATTTCTTAATTTATAATTTTTGCTTTGTATATTATATACAAAATATGGTTCTGTTTAACGTTTCTCTAATTTAGCTAAGAAATTATTTTTCAACCATATGTGTTCCACTAATACTTTATCTCCAATTTTAAATTGTTACGCTATTATACTAATATCATATTGATCCTTCTATTTTCATTAATCCTTCTTAATTTAATTAAGTGCAATTTGTTGATCATCTTCTAATAGATTGATTATCTTAAATAATCTTTCCATTAATGCATCCTTAATATTTTTATAATTACTCAATTCTGTTGGAATTTTTAATTCAATAGGTAATGTTGCTTGTCATCCATATAATAGGTAAAATGGTGTATAACCAGTTGTATTATGTTTCATTATTCTATAAGCAAATAAAACTGATTCTACATATTTGTCCCATTCTTTTTCTTTGTCTGCAATTAATTTGGCTAAACATTCATCAATTGTATGATTGAATTTTTCAACCATACTATTTGTTTGAGATTTATATGCAGAAGTAAGCCGGTATTTTGTTTGAAATTTATTACATAGTGCATTCACTACTTTATTTAGAAAAGAAGATCTCCTATCAGATAGAAGTTCTTCTGGAATACTGTATCTGCAAATAATTTCATCAAATATAAACTTTGCAACAGTTTCTAATTTGATATCAGGTATTGGTTTTGCTTCAGACCATTTTGTGAAATAATCCATAGCAATTATTATAATTATTATGTAATGATTACCTTGTAAAGTTCTAGGGAAGGTCCTTTTATATCAATTCCAACTCTATAAAAAGGAGCTTTAACTTTGATTGACTGTAAGGGCTCTTTTCTATTAGATGATCCACATTTTTGACAATTATCACATCTTTGTATACTTGTGATCAGTAATATCATTCTTTTGCTTTTTCAAAAGTAACATTGCCTCCTAGATGAGCATCTGTCATATCTTTATAAAGATTATAAAGAATAATTTCTAATTGTTCAAGTAGAATTACTCTTTTATCTCTATCTCTAGTTCACTTATATAATAAATTATTTTTCATTAAGTGTTAAGTTGAAATCTTTTGTAATTTAATCTGTTGAGAGTCATTCAAATTAAAAGGGTATGTGAGGGTTGTGAGGTATTGCATCAAATCTTCATATAATTTATTATCCATTATTGAAAATATGAAATCTTGAAGATGATGACATATTATATTGGTTGAATTGAAACTATTAGGGTTAATCTGTGATAAGGCATCAGCATTCTTATAATTTTTCCTTTTCTGTATTTTACTTCATAGGAATATTCTTATAAGGTAAGTCTCCATCTCATGATTCGTTTGTTTTCAATAACCTTAGAATCAGAATTTAGTAGCTATTGATTATTAGGGTTTCTCAAAATCGAATCAAATCAAATATTTAAGCAATTTGAATTTGAATCGAATCGAATCGAATTGAACTCAAATATTTGATCAAATCAATTTGAATCAATTTGAATTTGATCGAATCGAATCAAATTGAATCAAATATTTGTCAAATCAAATCAAATCAAATCAAATATAAAAAAATTTTTTAATTTTTACAATGATATATTAAAATAAAGTTATTATAAAGGTTTAATTAAGAAAATTATTAGTAATTGCACTAAAAAATTTTAAAAATAGCTTTTACAAAGTAAGTTTAGTAACAGGTGAATTTTTACTATTAAACTTAGTAAAATAACTTTGTGGTTTCAGTTTTACTAAGAAAACTTAGTAATAATCACCATCGTAGCTTCAGTTTTACTAAGAAAACTTGGTAATAATAGCCATCTCAGCTTTGTAACAATTTTATTAGTAAAAAACGTTTTTGAAGCCACAGATGCGTTTTTTTACTAGGTTTCTTAATAAAATAACATCTCTGAAGCTGCAAAGGCGTTTTTTACTATGTTTTTAAGTAAAATAACGTCTCCGAAATTATGAAGGCATTTTTTACTATATTTTTCTTAGTAAAAAGGTATTTCCAAAGCTGCAGAGGCGCTTTTTACTATGGATTTCTTAGTAAAAAGGTATTTTTGAAGCCGTAAAGACGTTTTTTGCTATAGTTTTATTAGTAAAAAGGCATTTCTGAAGTTGCGAAGTTGCTTTTTACTATAGTTTTCTTAGTAAGAAAGCAATTTTGAAGCTTTGGAGATGACTTTACTATTGATTCAAATCAAATCAAATATTTGAATACTTGATTTAAATTTGATCGAATCGAATCAAACATTAATTTGAATTTAATCAAATAAATCATTCTTTAATTTGAATTTGATCGAATCAAATTTGAATTTGTATTTGATTTGATTTTCAAATTAAATATTCAAATATTAAATCAAATTGCAGAACCTACCAGTTATTTATATCGATCCTCAAAAAGCTCAAAACTTAGATCAGAATCTTACTTTATAGAAACTTTATTACAGACCTGAGGGATATTATCAGGTTGCTGAAAAAATGCAAACCACTTGTAAGAAAGCTAGATATGGGTTTTCTTTAACCGTTATAAAAAATTGGCTAAACAAGCAGGCTTTGCATCAGATTCATAAGTCTCAGCCAAAATTATTCAGTATGCCTTCTTTAATAATATACAATTTTTATATAAAGTGCTTCAATCTGATATTACCCCTATGCTTTATGATAAAGTAGGTAATCAGATTTACAAGTATGGGTATTATCAAAGATGTTACAATTAGGTACTGATGTAGTTTTGCATTAACTGATAAATCTTCTGCACAAATAGCTAAAGCAATTCAGAAAATTTACAATGATTCTAATGATCCTTTTAACTCATCTGATGATTTTATTGTAGATAAGGATACTGAATATATCGGTGAATGTAAAGATTTATTATTCAGTTATAATATAAGGATTTAGTATGCTAACTCTAAACATGATATAGCTATTGCTGAATATGATCATTAAATATTTGAAAAACATGCTTATTTTCAGTAAGATGCTGAAGATTTTCATTTGCTTTTGACTAATAGATCCAGAGCATGGATTAAGGAACTTTATATAAATGATGATAATTATAATAATATATCTACTAAGTTAATAGGAATGTCTTCTAATGAAGCTGTAAAAAAGAGTATTAAAAGGCAAATATAATAGTGTGAACAGATAAAATATGATAGGACCTATGTGATGCAGATGATTGACAAATCTGACAAATCTAACAAATTTGACATTTCTGACATGTCTGACATATATGATATATCTGACATGATCGACAAATAAGATATATTTGACAGATTCGACATATATGACATATCAGACATATTTGACATATACAATATTAGATATATTAGTTATATCTTTTTATATACTGTATTTTATATAAATAGATAGCTTTTTAGACCATGTAAAAAGTAGGATTTGACAAGTCAGTTTTAGTAATTTTTAAGAGGCAAACAGGCCTATTGTGTTACATTTTAATTTCATACTTCTTTTCTTTTCTTTTCTCTTGTTATATCTTTTAATTTTCTTTATTTCTATTTTTATTCTTATCAATAAATATCTTACTTGAAAATATAATTACTCAATACCTCGTGAATTATTGATAGTGAAATACTCATATAAACCTTGACTTGAAACCTTTACTCGAATTAGCTGTGATAATAAACTTATAAAAGCCTTGAGATTACTACGCTATTAAAAAGAAATAACACTCTAACACCTCATCTAACAGTTATAGTTCACAAGAATTACACGTTAACAATAGCTAAACCTTCTGTTAAATATAAGAGATTAGTTGGTTATAATGAATCACTTTTATCTAGCTATACTGAAGTTTAGCATCTATTAGAACCTAGTGAATTAGAAGGTGGTAGAAGAAAAGTAACTGATTGCAATTGGTCTTCTAAAATTTTTACAATTGATCCTTATTTGATAAAAGAAAACTAACCTATTCTCTATAAGCTTTACAATAGTCCTAGATGTTTATTGGTAAGAGAAGAATTTCAAATTGTAATAGATATACAATTACCTTCTCGATATCTATTTAAGCATTAGACTTACCTTCTCTTTCTTTTACTAGATATATTATTTATTCAAAAGTATTGCTTAAATAGTCATTAATTTTAGCCTGATTATAAATTATATTTTGTTTATTTCATAACCAATTATTTCTTGAATTTTTTTTGTTTTCATTTCCAGGTTTATCATCTATGAGAAATTTACCTAGTAAGTATAAAGCAAATTTGAATTATCTACACTTGTCAAATTCTTTCTCAAGTAATTCTCTAAATTGCTTTCTTCAGTTTTCTAAAAATTTTCATATATCACTTCTATTATCAGGATGAGATCTAAGAACTTTTGCATGATACATTGCTATAGCTCTTCTTTTAAGTGCTATATTTACTTTTTCTTGCTTTCTAAATTCTAGGTCTCTTTCTTATTTATCAATAATTTCTTATAAATGCTTAAATTCTTTATTAATCAAATTCTTAGATTTATTATCTTTCCTAAAGGATTTTGTTTTAGGTCCAGGATCAGCTTCAAACTCTAACATCTTTTTATATTTTCTAATTCCTTTTTTGTAGGTGATCTAACCATATTTTATCATATTATTTAAGAGCTTTTTACCTGTGCTTTAATTTCAGAAGTTTGAATAGCCTGTTGATTAATTTTTTGAATAGACACCTGAATTAGCATTTGAATAGAAGTTATTTCCTTCTTCTTTTATAATGATTTACATAGATTTTTTCGTTCAAGATGTTCATGAAATTTTTGAGGTATTAAGCATTTATGACCACAATGCTTACAGATTGTATCTTTTTTATTACTTCTTATTTTTCTAACCATAGTGTTAGCTCTAACTGGTGTGTTATTACTTACTTATAAAAAATTTTTTTAATTAATTATTTCCTATTATTTTCATTTTTCGATCATAGAATTACCATTGAATGCAGTATTTGCAGGCTTGCCAAAATGGTTTTAGGCTATTATGAAACTGAAGTATTAATTATTTATTAATTAATATTTTGAAAATTTAGTAATAAAAATAGGATGATTAGTGAACATTCTTGCTCATATTTTAGTAACTCTGAAAAGGTTTGTAAAAGAGCTTATATTAGACCTGAAGGATGCTAATTTCATTGAAAATCAAAAAATGAATACTATGTTCTGATTGTGACAAGTTAACTGCTTTCTGCTTGTGATTGATATTCAGATCATGTCAGAAGTTATTATGTTATTTAGCATTATATCAGGCTTTGATTAAAGAAATAAAAAGAAACTTATAAGTAAATAATAGTTGTCTATAAAGATACGTTTGCAAATCTTAATATTACTTTTTGCAGAGAATGTTTACATTTGATAAAATTGAAAGAGGAAGAATATAATAGTTGTCAACTAGAATAAATGGAAAGATTATTTTGGCTAACTCTATATTTAAATCTTAGCCAGAATTTTAGGTGTAATATCTAATGAACATTTGCTAAATTTTCATTAGACTTAAATGAATAATGTATTAAATAAGAAGTTAGCCAATATGAAGCCAATTCCTGATACAGTGAACTTTTAATATAATGAATTCTAGGATCTGAATATCAACTTCATTATAAACTTATAACGAATTTTTTAAGAATTAATTGGCTAGTTTATTATAGTAAGGTAATTTTAATATATTTGATTTAAAAATTCACTATATCAAGGGTTTGCTATATCAAGGTTTGACTGTATATATTTTTTGTTAGACTTATAAAATTTCTGGCAGGGTGGAATAGTTAGACAAAAATTTTTTCGTTAACTTTATATACTATTTATTAAACTATCTTGCGCAAAACTTGTTTTTGACTAAGAAAAAGTTGAAACAATTCTACAGATTTTTCTGCATTTTACAGGAGTTATTTTCATTAGACTTTTATATAAAATATGCTAGTTATAGAGTTAGCTTGCATAAAACCAGTTTTTTATTCACAATTTTTATTAGACTTATTAATGGGAAACATAGGACAATTGTTTAACTTAATTTTTTTATTAAACTTAAAGAATAATATATTTTTTCAAAGAGCTAGCCTATGTAGAAGTAGTTTCTGATATAGATTTTTCATTAAATTTATGTTAAGGAAAATAGAACAATTATTAGACTTAATATTTTTTGTTAGACTTAATTATTAGGTAATAAGGATTGTTAGATTTATTTTCGTTAGACTTAATTTTTTGTTAAATTTATTATAGGGTAATAAGAACTGTTAAACTTATTTTCATTAGATTTATTACTTAAATATGCTATTTAATAAGAAAAATCAATTCCTGATATATTATTTTTTGTTAGATATAATAAATATAATGAAAAAAAAAATGATATAGAAATTAAGAATCTAGAGCTGTTAGAAGCTTTTCTAATAGTTTTTTTGAAGTTGAAAAGCCTATACATAGGGTTGGGAATTTGATAAATTTAATATTGTATTTGTATTATACTTGTACTAATTTTTATATTAATTATTAAATGTATTAATTGTACTAATCATTATACTAACACTATACTTCTTAACCTTACCTATATAGAATTAAGGAATATAATATTGAAATTAAGATTCTCTTCTAATATAATAAGAAAATCAAGTGTTTATAATAGCATTACCCGATTTAACCAATAACGAATTTTGATTTTTTATAATGGCCTTTACCCGTTTTACCGGTAACCTTTATATGAAGTTTCCGGGGGTCTTTTTAAAACTAAATAATATTTTATTTTTAAAAAATGAGACGTAAAGATATTTTCTAAAAATAGATTGGCGATATGGTTTGTTTATAATTTTTAAAATGGCGTAAATTATTTACATATTTATTTTCACGTGTTTTTCTACGCGTTTCAAAAGTATAAAAACTCACATTTTAATTTTTCTTACCAAGATCTTTTTCTTTTAACAGAAATTATTGATAAACTTCAACATATTCATGGGTAAAATACAACGAAGACGATTTTTTTATCACTCGCAACGCTGCTATATCTGTGAACATATTAATACTATGGATCATCATCCACGTCGTGAAGTGACGCATAAGCTCACTGAGATAAATAAATTAAATAACGAGCTAACTACTCTTTCTTCTCGTTTGGACAATAGGGACGAGGAGTTTGAAAACCTTCAGCACTCTTTCAAAAATCTTCAGCAAGAAGTCGAACGCTTGTGAACCATTCCATCAGTCAATAGGGAAGAGGAGCTTTTGAACGAAATAGCAAGACTTAAAGGTCTTTTCCGTAGAGTGTGTCTGACCTTATAACAGAGAAGTCGCGAGTTTAACTTTTCTTATCACATTAGTTATTTTTGATTGATATTAATTTTTATGGAAAGGAATGTCGTACGCTTCGGCTATTCTGATTACGCTTTGTCGTACGCTTCGGCTATTGGAATTACGCTTCCTTTCCTCTTCTTTTTTCTTGTAGTTTCTTTTTTTCTGTTGTTAGTAGATAGTATTTCTTAAATATCTTTTTCTTCAATTTGTTCATTGAGCAATTAGTAGGAGTTAAGGTGATGACGTAGTCTTGATATATCAATTCACCGAGCCTCTCCGAGTTTGCTAAAGAGTTAAACCCTTCTCTTTTTTTTGTACAGTCCGAAAAAGGATAGAGGTATTCACCTTTCTTCGAGTGTATATACTAGGAAGTCAGGTTGGGTGTCTCGCCCATTTTTTTATCTAATCAATTATGGTACAGGATTTCTAGGATTTCTGGTTTTTCTGGTTGGTTCGATTCCAACGTTGATCCTTACATTTTTTGATAGTAATTAACCTTATGAAAAATAATACTGAAATCTTTTTTTTAAAAAGCACTTCTCTAACAGGATTCGATGAATTCTTTTTAAATTATAAACTTCGGTGAATCATTAAGATTAAACAATTGGAGATTCGTTTGCCAATCTAATGCTTTGCGTTGTCTTGTTTTATACAATATGTTTTTATTATATAAAAAGCGAACGCTTTCATATTTTTTCGCGATTCTATTCACTATCGCAAAGCGTCTATAAACAAACCAGAAAAAAATAAATTTGTTGATGGATTATTGCTACCGGTCTTTTTACAATCAAACGTTAATTATCCAAAAAACCTAATCAATTACATAAATTATTTTGTGAATGAAACCTGCTATTTAATTTATTTAATTTTTTTCATTAATATATAGCACTATTTAATATTTAATCTACATTTAAAGAACAGATAGAACCAAAGAAATGATTAAATGAAGAAAGTTGACAAGCAAGCGTAACCACATTTATTTTTACCGTAACTCTGAATCCATCTGGAAATTCTCTCGAGTTACATAGCTTTAGAAACGTTCTTTTATGATAAAGTCTACTTTACGATTCGAAGGGAAGATAAAAGATAGATTCCTACTTCTAATTAATATAGGTTAGATTCACCATAAGTAACATAACAAAGATTGCCTGATAATTTCAATTGATCTTTTGAATTTTCTTGAAAATTATTTTTAAAACCTTGTCATGCCTAATAAGTAATTGTGTCAGATTGAATTTTTAATTTTTAACGGATAATAATTATCTCAATCTAAATTTAATTTGCTCTTTTTATAACTTTTCTTCTATACTGATATCTCTCTCCCTCTTCCCTTCTTCATTAACAAAATCACTATTATTTAGAGTATCGATAGTTCCACATAATTCTTTTCTAAATACTTCTATTTCACTTCCCAATCCATCCAAATTTTTTCGAGTTTTAAACAATTGTTCATTAACCCTAATAAAATTAGTTATAATATCATAAGTACTTGAAATAACTTCTAATGATGCATCACTAGTATTATTTAAAAACGTTGGTAATAACGTTTTTGTCATTGTATTTACTAAATAAAAAATATAAAACCACTTCTTTAATAATTAAAGTGCTGAAATTCTTAATAAACGTAAAGAAATTTTGAAGTTACTTTGTGTCGGTCCTTTAGAATCTTCTATTGGTTTTTCGGTTTTAATTATTTCTAATACATCAATTTTTTCTCCAGTATGTGTTTGATGATATGTTTGCAACCTTGTTAAGTCTGATAAAATATCAGTAAATGATAGCGTTGCAGATGTAGGTGTAGGCTTACTTTTAAACATTTTAAACCGAGCAAAAAAAATTTTTAAAAAACGAGATTACCCAATGAATGAAATCAGTGTCTAAGTAAATCACGTGCGAAATTTATTATAATGCATAATTTACCTATCCAGTTTTATTTCGCGGTCGTCCTTTTTAACCACGGAAATTTCTGTTGCCTTTAACAAATAATTCCATGGTCTCTCAGATTCTACGACAAGTGGCTATTATTCCACGTAGTTCAAGGGTTCGATCAGCCACTTGTACCAGTAGATCTAACCATTCGTCAATTAGATTTAGTAGCATTCCAACCAAATTGCAAAGGCGACAATTGCATCACGCTACAAATCCCTCTTCAAATTTTACTTCACTTCTAGGTTATAGCCTTCGTCCCGGTCTTCGTAATGTTCATAGTCAACCCTCAATATTATTAGCTTCTCAGGTTAGGATGTTTTCATTAAATTCAATTCCAAGATTCGTTCTACATGCAATGAAAATTCCTACCGCAGGCGTAACTGTGGGAGTGGGAGGGTTGACATACGCAAACTATAAACTTAATGGTAAGTTTTGTTAAGATAATTTAACATTAGTATAGGCTCGAATTAATTTATATATCATTTCGTTAAAATGATTTAGATATGGCAAGTAAAAGTTCAGACTTCCTTTCCTCCATTACAAATGGGATTAAATCGGCTGTAGGAGCAGTTGGACAGGGAATAGATTTTGATCTACCAAGTATAGAAATACAGGTCCCAGGATTTTTAACAAACATTTTTTCTAAATCAGGACCATCTGCAACCTCAAATCAGTTTCAGATAGAATCTGATAGGCCTAGATTCATTAAAAAGGAAGATGAAAACAATACTTCAGAACCTTCAGGAGGTGGAGGTGGAGCAACTGCAGCTGCAATAGGAGCGGCTACTTTATTTAATGCGAATGAAAAGGAAGATGAAGATGAAGATGAAGATGAAGATACTGGGAATGCATCTAAAAAAAGAATTCCGGTACGGGATGATCAATTCATGCTCCTAACCAAAAAGTTGATAGAGGTACGCAATATTCTGATGAACATTGACCATAATGAGGCACTGAGATTACCAAGTATTGTGGTAATAGGCAGTCAGAGTTCTGGCAAGAGTTCCGTATTAGAAGCAATTGTCGGACATGAATTCTTACCAAAGTAAGGACTTAGATTTATTTTATAAAAGTTAGTCTAATGATATTATTCAAGTATTTATAACATACAATATCTACATAGGGGATCGAATATGGTGACACGAAGGCCTATTGAATTAACATTAATTCACACACCAAAATCTAAAGAGGAGTATGGTGAATTTCCTCAGCTTGGCTTAGGGAAAATGCATGATTTCTCTCATGTACAACAAACTTTACGTGATTTAAATCTTGCTGTACCAGAGTCCGAATGCGTTTCCAATAAGCCAATTGAACTGAGAATTTACTCTCCTAATGTACCTGATCTAACACTTATTGATCTGCCAGGCTATATTCAAGTAACTAATAGGAATCAACCCGAGACGTTAAAAGATAAAATTGTAGAATTATGTGAACAATATATCAGAGAACCAAATATTATATTAGCGGTCTGTGCTGCTGATGTGGATTTAGCGAATTCAGAAGCATTAAAAGCTGGTCGTAAAGTTGATCCATTGGGTCTAAGGACGATCGGTGTAATAACTAAAATGGATTTGGTAGATCCTGAGACTGGTGCAGGCATATTACGCAATACTGATTATCCTTTACATCTAGGTTATATTGGTGTAGTTTGTAAACCTCCAGCAAATAGAAACAATCAAAAAAACATTACTTCAGCTTTAATACAACACGAAGACCAATTCTTCCGTAGTAACTATGTGTATAGTCAACGTGGTATTCAAGTTGGTACTGGTACTTTACGTAGGAAACTTATGGAAGTATTGGAAGAAAATATGGCTAAATCGTTATTTTCTATTGTTGGAGCCGTTCAGTTAGAATTGGAGGAAGCTCGTTATCAATTTAAAGTACAATATAATGATAGGTTAGTGAATTATAAATAGCGTATTTCAATATCATTGAGTATGTTAATTAATTATTTATTATATATCAACTTAGGCGGATTACAGCCGAATCATATGTTGCGGAGACGATTGATTCAATCAAACATAATTTTAAGGATTTTGCTCATTCATTCGGAAAACCACAAGTGAGACATGAGGTTAGAACCATGTTGGAACAAAGGGTATTAGACCTTTGTGCAGAATTATATTGGAGAGATAACAAAGTGGTCGATTTACCTAAAGTATCGGCGGATGATCTTTATTGGCATTACAAACTTGACATGAGCTCTGCTGCACTTACTAAAAGTGGAATAGGTCGAACAAGTACTCAATTAGTTGTGGATGTATTAATGGCTAATATGGAGAAATTGGCTTCAATGGAGCCATTAAATAATCATCCTGACACTAGTAGAAAAGTATTAAATTTCAGTAATGAAATTTTGCGGCACAAATTTCATACAACTGCTGATCAAGTTGAAAATTGTGTTAAGCCATACAAATATGAAGTTGAGTGTAGCGAACAAGAATGGGCTGACGGGGTTAAGCGATCAATAACACTATTGGAAAAAGAATTGGAAAGTTGTGATAAAGCTTTACATAATATTAGAAATACTATTGGAAAAAAGAAACTTAGAGCTGCTATAAAATACGTCTTGGACGCTGAAAAAGAGGAAGCTAAACGTAAAGATACAGGTGATGCTAATAGTGAATCCAACACATACGCTATACCGCCTTCTGCATTAATATCATCCATTAATGATATAATGGATAGTGATGTGGAGCATAATCGTCTTCATTTTAATCCTAAAGTAATTGAAAAAGCCCGTGAAGCTATATTTCTTCGTGATCGTTCGAAGATACTAAAATATCGTTTAGCGGCTCTAAAATCACGACAATGCAAATCGCCTGATAACAAACAATATTGTCCAGAAGCATTTTTAAATATGGTCGCTGAGAAACTCACCTATACTGCCGTAATGTTCATTCAAGTCGAATTATTAAATGAATTCTTCTTTCAATTCCCCAGAGAAGTGGATAATCGACTTGTTTATGATTTGGATAGAAAACAAATATTATCTTTTGCAAAAGAAAATCCTCATATTAGGAAACATTTAGAATTGCAAGAGAGAAAACGGAAATTGGAAGAGGTATGAATAAAGATTGGATTTAAAGAAATGTATACAATTTTAATGTTTTTTTTCTATTAATTATGTAGGTCATGGAAAAACTAAATTATCTTGTAAGAAGGCAAAGAGATATTGAAGGACGTAAAGGTCCCACCAATTTCTAAGTAAAAAATAAAATTTCAAATATGGTTAAAATACTTAATTTTATTATAAAAAAAGATAATTTATTAGAAACTTCCCACATTCTACCACTCCTCCCATTTTTAATATACTATTTAAATGCTTAATTTAAATGCAATAGCTATTATTTTTTTATTTATTTTTCCTTTTAACACTTTAATTCATTAAAATACATGCATGATAACTTCGAATATAGCCGTGATTGTCTTTGATGAAAAAATTCTCTCCATGAAATTCAAACTTTAACAAAATACTTTACAAATATTGAAGGAATAAATGTTAATTTATTTATGGTTTTAATCGGATTTATCATCTAATAAATCTTTAAACAATTCATCAGCAGTTTGAAATTTTGAAGAGAGTTTTCCTTTAGATTTCATTTCTAATGATGATTCATCATTCTTGACTTTATTTTTTTGCAAAATCGTTGAAAAATTATCCTCAATTTTTCTATCTTTTGAAAACATTTCCTCATAAGCACGTTGAAACCCAGATTTGGGTGGAGAGATAACTTCACTAGAACTTGGAGGAGTAGTTTCAAGTAAAGATTTAAGTTTTGAAATAATTTCCTCTTGAGTTTTTTCATCATCTTTAACACGATTAGTAGCCGAGTCAAAGAATAAAGAAGCTCTTCCTGGTAAATTATCAAGAATACTTAACCCGTCTTTTGAAGTAAGAAGGGGAGTATGTGAAATTCTAACATTTGGACGTCCTTGTTCATCAAATTCAGCCTTTTCGATATAAAAATTATCAAGTTTTCTACGATTAACTTGGGCCAACCTTTGAGCTTTACCGAAATGTAAACTTCCAACCAAGCCACTAATACCAACGGCAAAAACTCCATTAGCATCTCTATTAAGAATCCGTCCTTGTATTTGAAAATTAACACCAGGATTATTATGAGAATAAGTTAATCCTTTAACGGTCGAAACAGAATTTCGTGTATCAAAAGTTAAACCTAAAAATTCTAACCAATTTTCAGGATCAACATTCGAATCTGTTAAAAGTTTCTTATCCCATTCATCTTTTCTTTCTTCAACTCGTTTTAATAATTTTTCAAATTCTTTCTTTGACATTTTTGCTATATTTTTTAATTTTTTTTTATTAATTGCATTCGATTTATTCGATTTTAAAGGCTCAACACTTTTTGAGATAAGGAAATTTTCTTTCCATTTCCTTGTAAATCTTATTAAAGTTTCAGCAGTTTTAAATGGAGTTTGATGTTCCATAGTATCTATTGTCCCTATCGTCACAACATTCGTACGTAAATGATTTGGTAAATTACGTTTTACTCCATAATCCCCACGTCGTTGATATTCTCCATAAGTTTTGTAAACTTGTGATAATGCAGGATCAAATTTTGCTAATTTTGAATTTTTAAAAAGTTGAGAAAATGATGACATGATACAAAAATTGGTCCTGTCTAATAAATCGTAAGAAAATTTGTAAATTATCAAAAAATCTCTGTACGACAATGATTTTCTGTATTCAGTAATGTTGGGCTAATCACAAATTATTACCCTGAAGTCAAATAGAAATATTCAGAATGATGAAGTTTTATTAATCTATATTATGATTTGAATAATAAATTACTAATATATCAAAGATGATTAATTACTTAATTTGTTATTATCAAAGATTAAACTAATTACATTTTGCTGATTTAAGTTTTATTTAAATTCTAACAATATTAAAGATGGATACTCCAATTAATTATAATATATTGTAATAAGATTCGATATTTGGCTTTTTCTTGCAAAAGAAACCAAATAACAATTGTAAAAATGACATCCTATAATATTTATGATTTCCGAGTTACTGAACCCAATTTTTTGCTGTAATAATGCGCAAAATTGAATTTTGGGAGTATTTTGTATAATACAAATATTACCATTACATTTATGTAATCGATAATCAATATATTACTAAAAAAAAAAATATAGCTCAGTTACATATGATAAATTAACTAAAAATATTTAAATCAAAACTGTGCAATACTTTTGTCCTCCCTCGGGATTGATATTTCGATCCCGGATTTTTTTTGGTTAAAACCCTGGATGATCCAGGATTGAAATGCGGAAAAATGTATTTCGATCCAGCAATTTAGAAAACACAAAACAAAAAATTACCACCGGGAATAATCAATTTTACTTTTATATGCCAAATATTATAATATGTTCAAATTTAGCATTAACTCATTTTTATTTTTCCTCCAACCAGAACTTTATATATTTATAAAAATAAAAAAAAAATCAACTAATTTTATACTTATTTATTACAACTTAGATAGTTATAAAATAAGCTGTGTTTTTTCTAATTCACTAATAATATTACATGTAATGTCAAAACTTGGTAAAATTAAATTTTTTAAAAACAGTCGTTATAATAAATTGGTTAAAAAAATCTTATTTATTTGTTTTTTTTTATAATTCTATAAACATGGTTACTAAAATAAAAATTAAGATTAAAATGATCAAGTTTTAATTAATTCCTAAAATAAACGATCATCTACACTAAATATAGAGAATTTTTCTACCTAGACACGTCGAATTATTATAAAATCAATCTTCATTATTATTCCCTAATCCTCCTAATTGATACTATTTAAAATTATTTATTAACGTTTGTATTTAATTACCTTTATTTAAATAAGAAATAATGTCTATAAATGAATAAAAAATAGAATATAAAAAAATAATTTTTTTTTTAAAATTTGACAAGCGCCCTTCCACATTTATTACAATTAATCTTTCTTTGCATCATTTTTCTTCTTACGAGATGATGTGCGAGTTTGTGGTTTTAAATGATGCTCAGGAATCCAACTCTCATCATATTTCAAATCTGATGTTCCCGTATCAGTAGTCTCTGTTTTAACAACCGGAGCACGCTTTAAGATAAAAAGAAATATATTTATATTAAATCTTAGATATACAAATAATAAGATCAATATTGTCAAATTATAATTACCTTGGTCTTTTTTGGTTTAACCCCTCCGAAGAAGACTTGGTAAATCATGTATAAGAAACCACCAAATCCCATAATAAGAATCAACCACATGAAAAGACTATAGAATAATCGAAATATGTATATATATATATTATAATATATGAAAAAAAGGGGCTCCAGAACATGTAAATAACTTACAGTTGTAAATCAAAGATGGATACGTCTGGATCAACAACCGTGACCGTCCCATTATAGGCAACGCCTTTGAATTTCTTTAAATTCTATTTTAAAAAAAAGATATTTAATTAATAAAGAAAAAAAGATGTTCCAAAGTGATTAACTTTGATAGGCCTACCTCATCAGCAAACAGAATATATAGGAGGAGGTCTAATTCTTGAGGAGGAAATTCCGCATAGAAATTATAAATAAGATCAACATGATCCATGGAAGGTGCAATATGATTGTATTTATAGGCTGTCAACTAAATGTTATATATATGAATATGCGAAAAAGAAGTTTATTTTTAATCAAATTGTTTAAAAGATATATATAAAAAAGGATTAATATATATCGAATATTTTGGTTTACATTACGAAAGATTTCGGACGGATTATCTTTATTAACCAATGCGCCTCCTATCATGGTTATGGTATAATTAGTTTCTCCTTTGTTATCAAACGTAACCTTGATAGTGTTCTTTTGTCCATTTACAATATCTGTGAGATGAAAAACCAAAGTTAAAATGGATTAAAATTCTCAAAGAATCAAATATACTTACGGCTAAAAGGATTATCTGTGAATTCGCCAGTAATCTCTACAGTATCGGGTGGAAGAAACACTGTTTCCTTGCTGTCATCGCCAAAGGCTATTATTTATGAAAAATAATAAAATCAAATATCAATAAAGTTAATCGCAACAAAAGAAAATCATTCTCATAAATGATCTTTTTTAAAAGCAAAGTAGTTACCTAATAATGGAGCAAAAAATAATACAGTTAATAAAAATATATACAGTATATTTTTTAGAAAAGCCATCTTTGGAAAAAAGTCAAATATTATTTTCTGGGAAAAAAGTGACGAAAGTTTTTTTTATATCTTTTTGAATAAAGTGTGGCATCATTTAATTGGTTCGATATAAATTTAATTACAACGTATAAACTCTCACGATAGGAACCGAAGGTTAGTGTGAGGCGGAGTTCATATCGAATGGCTTTTGAAAAAAGGTCTCAAATTATAAATAAAATGAAACGTGTTAATTTCTTACAAGTTAAACTTTATCCAATTAAGGCAAATATATATATTTTTTTTAATCAAAATTTTCGTGAAAGTTCAAAAGATTTACTTCTATCCTCAAAAAATTTTATTTTTTTATTTTTTTTTTTATTCTATTTTTTTTTTTTTACCTTTTAAATAAACAAAGGAATAAAAATTACATTAATTTTTCGAATAAAAGCAAGTTTTTACTTTTAAATAATGGATAAAGTTAAAGTATACTCGTCAAATGCTGAAGATATCCTCGAGAAATTCTCACAACCATTGAAACCTCATATTCCGGCAATTGCTCGTTTCCTTATTGTAGTAACGTTCATAGAGGACGCGTTTAGAATTTTGTTTCAATGGACTGATCAATTATATTACCTCGAAAAAATCAGAAGCATGCCATGGGGAATATCACATATATTTTTAGCAAGTAATATTATCGTAAGTAGAAGTTTATTTGTATCGTACAAGGGTACAAGTTCAAAATCATTTGAATTACGATCCAACCACTCATTTTAAATCGAATTAATTCAATATTTAGACGATGTTTATTTGTTCTTTTTTGGTGGTTAAAAGAAAATATCCTGAATATGCAGTTGGAGGACTCTTTATAGTTGTTGTCGCTCAATCTATTGGTTATGGTCTTTGGAATGAAGTAAATTTCTTATTAAGAGGTTTATCCGTTATTGGAGGATTATTGATGGTTCTTTCTGATGCATTTTCCAAGAAGAAGTCGGTTTTTGCTGATTTACCACAATTATCTGAAAGAGATCGTAAAACGTACTTTCAACTTGCAGGTCGCATTTTATTAATTTTTCTATTCATAGGTTTCGTTTTTCATGGAGAATGGTCACTTGCTCGTTTTACTATATCGATTATTGGATTTATCGCTTGTATAATGGTTGTAGTTGGGTTTAAAGCTAAATGGTCTGCTACTTTCTTGGTCCTCTTCCTTTCTATTTTTAATATATTTATCAATAATTTTTGGTCTCTTCATCATGTAAATCCTCAAAGAGATTTTTTGAAATATGATTTCTTTCAAACCCTTAGCATTGTGGGTGGTTTGTTGTTGTTAGTAAATATGGGTCCAGGTGGAATTTCGATTGATGAGAAAAAGAAAGCATATTAAAAATGGAAGATATATATATACACTTAATTAAAAAGATTTTGAATATTTTTTGGGAATATAATAATAATTTTTAAAGATTATGATCAATTGTACTTCAAATCAAATCTTTTTTAAAAAAAAACAATTACTATTTTTTTTTTTTTTTTTTTTCGCTTTTTTTATATATATATTATGTATATATATATATTGTGTATTAAAAAAATTTTGATCCCATTTAATTATAAAGTTATTTATGCTTTTAATTGGTTAATCAACCGTGCAGTTGCGTAATTATTAAACGTAATTATTTTGTCACATCGAAACGTTCTGAATAAATGTGAATTATAAATTTAGATTATCTTAATTATATTAAACAAGTTTTTTAAATTTATTAATAAAATAGACCCTCCCAAATACTGTTTTATCTTCTATAAACAAATGAATTTTCTTTTTTTTTTGTAAAAAAAATGTTATGTACTAATGCAAGATGTGATTGAAAAAAAAAGGAAAAACAAAAAAAAGGGATTTTTTTTTCGAGGTGACAATTAAAACTGTACATTATTAAAATTCAATTCTCTTTTTTTTTTTTTTTTTTTCCTTTTAACAAAAATGAGAAGAAATAAAAATTAGTATTCATTGTTCAACATTAATTACAATAAGTTGGAAATGTAATAAGAGAAATAACTCAATAATTTTTTTTAAAAAAAAAATGATGATGATATCGAAAAGAAGCGAAAATAAATCATTCCAGCGCGTTCTTTACAAACATAATTTTTTTTTTTAAAAAAAAAGATTACCCAATATAAAATACCTATCTATTAAAATAAATATAAATAAATTAACCATATTGTTTGATAAAATTCTAAAGTAATAACAAATCATAACGAATATTCCATAATCGCTGCTAAATTAAACAATAATTATAAGTAAATGTCCAATTTTAATAATTTTAATACAATGAACCACGTGTCATTTAAACTTACCATCATGGCCTTGGTTTTGCGGCGTTACCACCTTCAAAGTTTAAACTTAAAAGGGCCATTAACATATCCTTTTTATTTTGGGGGGGTTAAAGATAAAACATTGGTGAATATTTTGAATATATTTTTTTTTTTTTTGATTTGTTAAAAAAAATTTGAATTAAAAGAATAATTTACCTGAAGAACGTGTATAATAATTACTATCATTGTAATAACCAATTCAGGATATGTTTCAAAATCTATCACTGCTTCTCGTGTTATATCATGATTAAATACTCTCTTGTAAATATTTCGCGTTATTGCGGAACTTGCAAGTTCGAATGCCCAAATAACGCAACTCGCTCGTAACGTTAAATCAAAATCGAACAAGTCATCCTCAAATTTGAAGTACGGATATACAGATTTATTTGGTCCATTAGATATAATAATTATCCAACAAATGAATCCAAGCATTGTGGCATTTTCAGCTAAATTCCTTATGAAAAATGACCTTCCGCATTGCCTTTGATAATCTTCATATTCTTTTCGAAGTCCAAAATAACATACGAGATATCTGTGAACCGTACGTGTCATACATAATGGATAAAAGATACAAACCCACAGCGAACTAGCGGCTTGAATAAGGATATATGTATCACGGTCACGTAAACGGGCGAAAAGATTTCGATAAAAGATAAAGTAGATCATAAAAAAGTAGAGTTTGAAGGTGAATTGTAAAGGATATGATCTCACTTTTGTTTCAAGAATGTAATCTGTAACCGTATCTAGAATATAAACGGTAGCAAGCCACGAATAAACGTAGACGAACGCATCTATACCGGAATGCGTTTCAGGTGATACTAAGAAAACATACGCGTAAGCTTCACCAGCTATGAATGCTATGATTACAAGAAATATTGTGGTACAAAACCACAAGAATCTAAGATAAGAAGTTGGTATACGATGTAGTAATTGAGGTTCAAGAAACGTTTTTTGAGCGAGGGTGAGTGAATGTCGATAAGTATTTCGATTTTCTGACCGAATGACAATGAATGCCACAATGAGAGGCATATTCATTGTCATAAATGTGAGTAAAACCCATGTTAGGTTATGTTTTTCCAATCCAGTAAAGAAATAAATCAACATTCCAATGGCAAGCGACATAAGCCAAAATACACAATATGCAAAGAATCCACCAAGCCATTTTGGCCACCAATTAAGAGAGTATAAATCAAATATTTTTGTGATCATCAAAAGTGCTATAGCATTGTAAAAGCCATAATAGAAAAATAAGAAAAACCAAAAATTGATTTCTACAGGCTCTGAATTAGGTGCCGGAAGATGAGATGAATCAGTGTCGTTTAACGAAGAATTATATGCTAAAAAATTGTTTTTAATGTAATCAACCGACGATATATTTTTATCTGGATCATCGTAAGGATTATTGTTAGGAAAAGGAATCGCACACCAAGCAAGAACCTAAATGCAATTCATTAGATAAAGTCAATGATAGATCATCTCTTTTTTAACGCATGTTTCCATACTTCATTAAAAAAATTGAAATGATTTGTTTAATGGGATATAAATTAATTAATTACCACCAAAACGGGAAACACATTCAACAGCAAAGCACGTTTCAAAAAAGTGCTAGTCCAACTACGAACTTGTTTCCTTGAAGCTTGAAGAAGGTGTGTACGCTCGTCAGGCTCCACTGGTGAAATTGGAGAATTAATCATTTCTCGTGAACTTAAAGTAGAGTGTACACGAAATCGTTGTACGTATTGATCTTTTTACAAAAATATAAAAGTTCATTTTATTTTATTTTTTTTAAAAAAAAAATGTTTTAATAAACAAAACAAAATCAAATTGGAAAGAAAACGAGAGATTATTTTACCTTCGTCATATTGAGAATCTAGCTCGTCTCCTTGACTTAAGTGGTACATTATGCGTGCACGCTTTTATGTTCAAAACGGCAATAATACAAAATATTCTTTACGTTTTTTTTTTTTTTTTTTTTTTAAAAAAAAATATATATATATTATATTTATATAAAAATCTTAAATTAAGGGAGAAACTCCTTTTAATGTATTTTATTAAAATAATATATATAATAAGAATAAAAATGTCAACATAAAAAAAAAAAAAATAGATATTAAACGGTAGATATCTATCTTGTATTTAATAAAAGTGACTAGAATTCAAAAAAAATTGGTTTACAATTCTGGTAAAATAACCAGAATAGCCAGAAATGACGGGCGTCATTAAGAAAAAAAAAACATGGGGTATGGTTGAATGCTTGAATGAAACAAGTCTTATCTATCTATCTAATTTTTTCCCAATATATCACATTGATAATCCAGCTTAGCCCCTTGGATTATCTGATTACAGCTTTTACGAAGAAAGAATAATAGGTTTTTAAGGTCAATCATTTCGTAACGAATATTGTTCTCGAGAAGTTTGAGCAAAATTCATGAAATAATGAATTACCCTTTTTTTTTTTTTTTGGATTTCATTTTAGGTGTATCAATATGATGCATAAATGGAATAACAGTTAGCTTGCCATGAATCCATGTATCTGTTGTAAATTTGTTAAGGATTTACTTATTACAAATAACCAAAAGGAGAACGAATTAGCTAAGTATTTATTAGGAGAATACCGGAGCACTAATACAGTGTAAAAAGTTACATGTGAAAGATTTCATTGTGGAGAGTTAAATTTGTCATAATTCCTAAAGTGGGAATAATTGACAGAAGAGCATTATCGGCGAATTATTTTTTTTTAGGCTTGCTGTGCATTAAAATAGTTTAAGTAAAATGTTGAACTTGCAGGCGAACGATTTAACGCGAACCGCGTGAATACGCCACTCCATTATTGGTAGAATTGCTGGTCGAATGTTAAATGTTGTCATATCCACGTGATAGCTTCATTTCGTTTACTATCATCCTGCAAATAACGGGATTCGATGCCTTAATTGTCCCAAAATTAAGAGTTGTATAGGTATCAATTATTAAGAAAAAATCAAATAAATTTGTTCATTGACTCCAAATCAAATCACATGAAACCTAAACAATGAGTGACATTCTAGAATCTAAAATTATGTTTGTGATATAAACAGATTGGCAAAAAGATTTATCTAATCTATATAAATAGAGAATCATAAATGATTTTTTTTTGTTTATTGGATTGGCTACGGTTGAATTTATAACACAAAGTCCCTTTTATATTATAGTAAAATAATAATAATACACTCGATTATGCAAACTACCCCAATGAAACTAAACTGGATCATCTAATATTAATGTTGATCATCCTTCGAGGATATAAAAATATAATTTAGCAAAGATTTCTATTTACCTTGTTAAACGACAAAAGTAAGTCTAATTTGGATATGTTACAAGAAATGTCTAAGCGGCGCCTTAAATCGGTTATAATCGATTTTTCTCCGATTAATCGCTCAAGCTTTAATAATTGATGTTATTCATGATATATTCAACAAAGGTTTCCTTCTCATACTTGTGGAATCGCTCATGAAATGATCATTTGAGGAAAAGAAAAGCGGAATAAATTAAAACAAAGAAGTTGACTTACCGCTTCGAAAGAAAATTATTATATTTGTTTATGATTTTCTTTTCTTTGCTGTGGGCTTATCAAAACCTCCATGTAAACCACCCAATTTTGATATCGTTCGCTTATTAATTTCCGTTTTCTGATTCCAAGGCACATCTTTCTATAAAGAAGTGCGGGAATAAATACTTTGAAAATTACACAGACAAAAGATTGACGATTTACTAACCGTTGATGTATCTTGATCTGCCAAATGCGTCCATTTAGTTTGCCCTGCACGACCGAAATTTTTAACTTGCATAACTTTGGGTAAATCTTCTTTGTGCGCTACTTCATCTGGAGTTGCTTTGGTATAGTCACGGTTAAAAACTTCTTCATTTTCCTATATACATGTATAAAAAACTTGTGTAGGTATTTGTTTTTTTATAAACAAAGAAATACCTCAATTTGAGAAGTAAATATCTGTACCAAATAAAATGCGCCCTTGTGATAGTACTTTTGTAGAAATTTGTATTGACTCTTAGGTTTTTCTTCACGTTGTTTTTTGATACGTTCCATATCTTCTTTCATACGATGTTCCTCAGACATATTACGTCTTCGCTCAATCTCTTCGCGTTCTCTTTCCCTCCTATGATTTGATAAGTAAGTATTAAATTGTATTACTGTATTTGTCCAAATTTTTTTCTTTTTTTTTTAAAAAAAAACCACGTACGCTGCACTTTCTTCTTTATCTCTCTTAATTCTCCTTAATTCACGCAATTTCCATTCATCATATTCTGCCTGTTCATCAAGGCCATCAGTATCATCGATTTCTTTCAATCCAGTATCCTCATTCACTGTAACATCAAAGGATAAGCATAATGCCGATAAAACTCTCTCTACAAATTAAAATAATAATGCTAACTCTAACCCTCTTTTTGCAACGCTTTTTGAACTACTTCTGCGACCATCGCGTGTGATTCTTTCTTCCTTTCTTCAAGTTCTTGTATTCTTTTGAGTTCAGCTTCTTCTTCTAATTTCGCCATTCTTTCTCTTTCTAAAACTGTTTCTCTATGCACTCTATAAATAAATATATCAATTAGATTGCGTTTTAATAACAACCTATCATACTTCAGATAAATCCGTACATACTTTGGTATGAATACAGGCTTCAATAATTTTCTTGATGATTGATCTTCCTCTTCGGAATCTGTTTCATATTCAGAAGTCTCCTCGCTACCACTTTCCTAATTAAAAATTAATCAACATAATTCTGATGAACAGAAAGTCAGAATCAAATTATAACCTTACATCTTCTTGTTTTGCAGCTTGAGCCTTTTCTTCTTCTTCTTGAGCTTTTAATCTTTCTTCTTCCTGTCGTCGCATTTCTAATACACGAGACCTTTTAAGTTGTCGGCGCCGAATTTCAGCTTCATCGTCTAATTCTTCTTCTTGTAAATCCTCGGCTACTTGTATTTGAACCTTTTGTAAATCTTCATTTTCGTCGTCTTCTAAATGCCTTCTGCGACTATCAAGTATTTGCGAGCTTGCGGTCTCTTTTGCTTCTTTTAATCTCCTCAACCTACGATCTGAAGCAGCTTCCTGTTCAGTTATCTCTATTTTTTGAATGGATGTTACTAGATCTATCTCCTTCTGTCTCTCAAAATGTTCTTCTTCCTCTTCCTCGGAAGACGAGTACTCCGTTACTCCTTTTGGAGCCTTTCCCGGCCAGTACCGTTGTACTTTGACAGGTTGCGGTACATTTTCACCCTTTGCATTGACACCACCACGTGCTGCCATTTTAAAAAAATTGAGATATAGATATATCGATTTGAATTTATAAAGATAATCGTTTAAAAAAACGTTCCTTTTTTTTGCAGCATATTATGTAATCAGTCAAAAATATCAAAAATAGTGATATGTAGTGTAACCGTGTTACAAGTTATTATGAGAATTATGAGAACAGACGTGAGAATTCGAATTTGCTTTTTGCTTCACGCTTTTTTTATTTTTTCTTTTAAAAAAAAAAAAAAAGCTTTTAAAAAAGGGTTTATTTTTATTATCATAACAAAATGGATGATAATTACAAAGTAGGCGTCGAAGAATTAAAGATTGCTCATAATCGGTTAACCGTAGTGCTTCGCGAACGTCAAAAGCGTCGAAGACTTCAATTAGCCTCGGTAGAAGAATTCAAAGACCTGTTCCCAAGTCAGAAACGCGACAAAAAACCAAAGAGATCAGTTGCTCAAAAACCAAGGGCACAACATAGTTCTATAGATAACAAAATTACTTCGTCGAGAAACAAAAATTCTAACAAATATCAAAAGAGAACTGCAGATAATTTCGAATTTAAAATTCCTTATCCCAAAAAAACTCTTACATCAAATATATTAGATGAGAAACAAAAATCTCAAATTAATGAATATCATAATTTATATCAGGATGGAGAAAAAACAATTCGTAATGATTATTGTCAACATTTTGTGGATTCGGGTCGACGACCTCAAAATTTCATTCGTGATACCGAATTGTCTCAACGATTCGACGAATATCCAAAACTCAAAGAACTCACAAAAAAAAAAAATGCATTGGTGACAGAAAGAGCCACGCCTCCAACATATTTAAAGGCTGATCTTAGAACACTTGACTTGAAATCTCTTGGAACGAAATTCGATGTCATATTAATTGACCCACCATTACAAGAGTTTGTATTTATTTTTTTTCTATATAATAGTTATAACTTGTTATTGTATTATCGGCTAAATAATTTTCGGCAATTCTCAGGTATTGTAGAAGGTCTCCGTTGGTAGCGGGTTCAAATTCGGATTATTGGACATATGACGAAATTATATCCTTTTTTCTCCCCTCTCAATTCTGCTATTAAGATCAAAAGTAAATCTGTTATATATTTCCCTAACTTGTAATCTTACGCCAACCTTAAAATTGAAGATGCTGCTGCAACACCTTCTTTCATATTCATTTGGTCTGGAGATGCTGATGGTTTGGATCGTGGGAGACAATTACTTTTAAAGTGGGGATATCGTAGATGTGAAGATATTGTTTGGATAAAAACAAATAAGAAATGGAAGGGAAGTCATTTCATTGAGCCAAGATCAGTCTTTCAACGTACCAAAGAACATTGTATCATGGGTATCAAAGGAACAGTTAGGCGTAGCACGGACGGTCATTTCATACATTGTAATGTGGACACTGATGTGATCATATCAGAAGAACCACATTATGGGGGTCGGTTTTCAATTTCCTTTTTAACAATGAAAAAGTTAAATTTTCTTTGGTTTAAGAACAATTTAACTGAGACATATTACTTTTGCAAATTTTAAAGTAGGTACAGCTAAACCCGAGGAATTGTACCACATCATAGAACATTTTTGTCTTGGACGTAGGAGACTCGAATTATTTGGCGAGGTAATTATTATTATTATTATCATTATTATTATTTTCCTATTTTGCATTGGACTCGGTTTGGAACTAAATCATTTTTTGAGGATGGTTTTATTATTTGCCATTTAAAAGGATCATAATATTCGTCCGGGATGGTTAACTGTTGGCTTGGGCCTATCAAGTTCAAATTTTGATGCGACAACTTATTTGTCATATTTTTCTGAGCCAAATGGATATCTCCTTGGTTCAACAAATGGTAAATATTTTATTTAGTATATTTGCAACATTTTTGATTTTAAAAAGCAATAATTGGATGTATTTTTTTTCTTTTTTTTTTAATAGAAATTGAGGCTTTACGACCTAAATCGCCTCCGATTCGCGATAATTCAACGGCAAAACTTGGAGCTCAAGGCAATATTATAAAACAAAAAGCCAAGAAACAACAACAACCTACTTCAAATATTATGCCAGTTCCTTCAATGCCCCCTACTTTACCGGCATTTTCTCATCGGTGGATTCCTCCGCCTATGGATTCAAAAGTGTACGGTACTCCATCTATGGATGGAAACGTTTACGGAAAATAAATATTAATTATTTAATTTGAACTAATAATGAGAAAGCGCGAAATTTTTTTTTATTAAAGATACTTTTCGATCAAAGGAGAAGAACATTAACATATATCATTATTTTTATTAATTTTTACAGAATTTGTAAAAATAATAAAAAATATTGATATCAATAATAAATATAATAAAGAATCTATCTATTATCGATTAACGTTAAAATTATCCCCATATTCGTACTTTACAATCCCAACCACAACTCGCAACCACCCCATTTAACACAGGATGCCAACATGCATCTGTACAACTTCTTTGATGTGCACGTTCGATTTTTTTTACAATTTTTGAAGATGACCACTCGTAAAAATACAATCCTCCATTTGAATCACCCGAAACAATGAAACGACCCAAATCTGGTTCGGGTGAAAAATTGCATTTAATTGGATGTCCATTAACCAAATGTCCTTCAAATCTCTGTAAAGCATCAACAAAGCATGCGAAAAATTTAGCTAGAAAAGATTGTTGAAAAAGCAAAAAAAAAAAAAACTTTACCTTGCGTTTATCCAACTTCCAAGGTTTATTCATTCCAAATATTGAGATATAATTTGCATTAGATTGAGCTATAAAATGATTCTTGGAAGGATGGATCCTTAAAGCGGTACATGAATATGTTTCTTGGTAAATTTGATTTGATATAGTTGTAAACTTTGAAATAATTATGTCAATATCCGTAAATTCTTTAACATGACGATAAATAAAAACCATAAAAAAACTTACTGAATCATAATCCCAAACTACAATATTCTTGTCAGAGGCATTTCTTACAACATAATCAGAACAAGTGAGTATACTCTTTCCATCAGGAAAAAATTCTACATCGTTAACGCTTCCCCAAAATTTTTTTGTTTCTTTAATCATTTTATTAGAGCGAATATCCCAAGATTGTATTCCATCGTTTATCATGCCTGAAACAAAAATATTTGATTGTAAAGGGTGATAACGAAGTGAAGTGACTATATGTGAATGTGGGAATGACTATTTATTTATTAATTTTTTTTAAAAAAAAATAATAAAAATAAAAAATTATAAATAATACGATAAATATGGCTTAACTAAAAGCAATGCATTTTAATGATTCTTGTACCTGAAATGTAGTTCCCTTTTCAATGTCAGTTAATTTTACGATCTTATCATATCCTCCTGAAAGTATATGATTTCGAGTATGATCCCAACGAATTTCTTTTACCGCTCCTAAAATAATGAATAAAGAGATTTGAAAACGAAAAAAACGCGTAAAGGAGGGGAAAAAAAAGGCAGACTAGAAGAACACGAATACCATCATGACGAAGAATTCGAACACATTGCTTTGATCTAAATACATCCCATATTCGAACAGTACCATCCATAGAGGCTGAAGCCAATACTTGACCTTAACAAATATAATAGGATATTAATAGAGAGGTCTAATTTTAATTTCAGTTAATAAAGAAATACTCACCAAATGAACCACACCATAAAATAGAATTTACTCCATTAATATGTTCAGTTTTAAGAGAAATGATTTGTTGTTTTGGAATAGTATTAAAGCGAGCTTTACTTTCCTCCCGAATATCTTCTAATGCAGAACTTATTAAATTAGGTAACTTAAGTAATGTTCCAGAATAAGAGACCGTATCACGGATATCATGATTTATTGCTATTGAATGTTCATTTGTATTAGCTTCTAACTTTCCGGTCTCCTGATTTAATTTCTCTCGCTTTGAAATATAACCTTTAACTCTTTTTTGTGGAATTTCTGTTAAATTTTGACCATGTGAAAAACGTATACTTGTTCCTTCTATTGATCTTTTTCTTTTTTGTTTATTGAAAGAAGTATATGGAATAGATATCTGTGAAAATTGAGTTGCATCTTCCTCTTGAATGAAGGTTGGCTTGATTTCTGATTCGTTGTTGCTAGAATCACTATTATAAGCTTCGACTATATTTTCCATAATATTAAAAAGGCAAACTGCACGTCAGACAGAGATCACGTGTTGTAATTATCGTCGCTCGGAAAAATGTGAATTGTCGATACCATGTGACTTGATGTCAAATGTTCTTTCAAAGGAAAACATGCAGAGCATATTACGAAAGTGTATAGAGCATTGTATTGCGTCATAAAGCTTGATGCTTATCTTTAAGTGATTTCTTATTCCATTTCCTCATAGGGACTTTTTTGCCTGAACCCGATACATCTATAAATTTTTTTTATATAAAGGTCAAAATTTTTCATTCCGAAGGTTATCGTTATTGAAAAAAACTTCTGTCAAAAAAAATTAATATTTCTAATTCTAGAGATGATCAGTAAAATTGATCACGTGTGCGGGAATTTGGCGTTTCTGGGGAGGTAAATTTCCCAAAAGTTTAATGTTACAAGTTAAATAAAAGATATTACAACCATTTCGATATGGCAGTTTTAGTTTTGGGTGCTTGGACAGCATACAGCATTATTTGTGTTGTAAGTTTTCGCAAATCCTTATTTGGAATATCAACTATTACTAACAATCTCATAACTCGTTCTTTTAGGTTTTATTTGTATTTAGTATCGTATTCACAAAATATTATCAAGATAAACATGATAGTGAACGACTTGCAACAACAGTAGCAATTTGTTCCTTGGCTCTATGTTTAAGTACAGTTGCTTTGTTCCCTGTAGACATATTTTTAGTCTCAAGTACTGTTGATTTGAGTACAGGACTAAAACACGAATGGGCTACCAAAGATGTTGTAGAAGGAATTGTCCATAATCTTAAATTCGTATATTATGGTAATTGATTCGAAATTCGGACACTCATGTGAATATATCCGTCTAAATTTACATTGTAAAATCTATAGGAACATATGGATTGATTGCAATTTTCTGTGCATTTATTATTCCATTCGCATATTTTTATTTTGAAGAGCTTGAAGAAGATCAAACAAATTCGCAGGTAAGACCTAATATAATATTTTTTTTTAACTTCATACCTATCGATTATATTAACCTTTTTTTTTGTGATGTAGCGCACCATAGCCGCTCTGAAGTATACTGCATTCTTCATGGCATTTATATGCATTTGTTTATTGTTTGGATTAATTTTACAACCATCGGAGAAAGTGCCACTCGATTTAGAATTTTTCAAGAAATTATTAACCTCAAGTCGTAAGTTATAAAATTACTTTTTAAAATTTAATATAATTATAAAAGATATGTTAATTTTACTTGTTATATTCGTAGTTGGGGAGAATAGTATTTCATTTGTCATATCTATTCTTATGCTTCTCGGGATGATCGTATTTATTTGTTATACTGTAAGGATATATAAAGAATAATCTATAATCATGGTTGAATTATTGACGTCATAATATATTTTGAATAGGCCCCAGGACTTTTTCTTCTACCTATTGGAATGATTAAAGGTACAAATAAAATAAACTCAGAATCTAGCTTAAAGCTGCATTCTTCACTTACTTTAAATCGTGAAAAACAAAGAATTCTTAAAGCAAAATATTCGGGTCCTAACAATTTGATGTCAAAGAAAGATGCAAATCAGTTGAACATTTTGAGGAAAGAAGAAAAGTAAGCTGAATGTCCAGTAAATCTTTTATACCTATTTGTAATCTTTACACATTTTTTTTATTTTGAAGGATTTTGCTTCGTCGATTAAGATTAGCTACCGAGTCAAATGGATTTTGGAAAAAGATTATGTATATCCTTAGGCCATTCGAAGTGTGAATTTTATTTGATTTCTTGTATCCTTTAACATAATGAATTATTTTGTTTAACATTTTATGATTTATTAGTTCATAATTGGCTCTGTTTTGACTATATTGACCGTTGTAATACTCATTTCAATATTCTTGACCTGGTAAATTTATTTATTGTTCAATATGTCTCTATTTTTTTGCTATCAAATACTCAATGTTCGAATTTTATTTTATTTTTTAGTATTGATAAGGTCAAGAATTCAATTTGTGGAAGAAGTTGTGGATATATTATTAATCATCCAGATATCTTTAATCCTCTTAATTATATATTCCTCAAAGCATCTAATGTAAGTTTTCATATATATCATCATAATTTATATGCAAATAAATTAAATTTTTTTTTTAAAAAAAATAACACTACACTCTGACAATTCCTAGTATTTCCCTATTGATTATTTCTTCATGGTACTCCTTATCCTGTACTTTTTCAGTAGCACTGTATATGGGGTTATTTCAATTGGAATTCGTTTCTTATGGGTGCACCTTTATAAATTCCGTAAGAATTCTACACCTCCTCAAGGTAGAATCAAATCCTTTTCTTGTTGAATCTGATTAAGATTATTTGACTTTGAAGATTTATTCTTTTTTGCTATTTGTTATTTTTTTAACAGGATTATTATTTGGTTCTATTTTGTTCATGCTAAGTCTATTGGCTCTTAATTACACTTTGACAATGGTTGTTACTCCTCAATATGCTCAATTTGGGAGTCAAGTATATGTGAGTTTCGTTTTTAATTTATGAAATTTATGAATCACTTTGCAACTGTTACTAATGGAGTTAAAATTTAGTGTAATCATACAGTAAATGAGATTCGTAACTGTTCCGATTATCCCCAATTAATTATACCATGTGATGTTACAGCACCAGCAGGTAATTATTACAAAAACAAAATTATGATACATTTTTCTCTTTTGAAAATTACTTAAAATACAAATTCTCTTTATAAAGATATCTGTACTCCAACTGTAATATCAACATTTATCCATCGTATAACAGTCAATACACCATTTTTCGGAGTAATATTTTACTATGCACATTGGGCATTTTTGGGGGTTACATTACTTGGATTTATGTATGCTATGATTAAATCACCTAGTGATATATTATATGATGATTTGGATGATGAAATGGACGAAGAGGAGGAAAGATTGTTGACTAATAATGAAATAAGAGCCTGAGCTGATAGTCGGACTTGATGATTAGTTAAATTAATTAGCTTTTATTCTTTTTATTATTATTATTATTATTCAAAGTACCATCATTATTTTATGTCTTTATTTTTATTAAAATCAAATTCAATTATTTGGATGATTAATTTCCTTTTTTGGAATCCCTTAGTTTTTTTTGATCGATGCTTTCTTACGAATAGCACGTGGAGATTCATTTATGTACTGTTGTAGTATTCGATTTTGAGCTCAATATTTAATAATTTATACAAAAAAATTCTCAGAATTTAAACAAGCGTTATGACGGAAGCTTGTTATTATTTTTGTTTATTTGTTAATAAAGTATTATCCGAACCAATGAATGTTGTATTTCCGTTTGACACAATTGTTGTATAGCTGAAATGTCGAAATTAAAATGCGTCAGTAAAGGAAAATGATATTATTTTCCGTTATTGTAAAATCTTGCGACGAATCCCTTCTTGTTTTAGTTATTTTTAGAATTATTTACTTTTTTGAAATATTCTTTTGAAAACATATTGCACATCAATCTAAGAATTACAACATTATGGCAACAATGGTCATGCATTCGATTGCTCTCAAAGAGAACGTTTATTAGGTATTATTGGTGGGATGCAATGCTTAGAAAAAGAAATGCATGCTTTGTATTTTATCCATCATCATAACATTGAAAAAATTTTGTTGAAAAACTGCTAATAAAGGTTTCATTTGTTTTCCCATTTATAATATAATATAGCTTTGTAAAACATGATTCTTGGAGATTGATAAAAAAAAACCTTATTATTGAATTATATTACAAATTTATCAATGAATCGTTGAAAATGCTGCAGTAAAAAAAAACTTATTTTGCTCCAAGTGATGTTTAAAAATATAACAAAGTTATTTTGTACAATAATTTTGCGATTATCTTATTTTAACAATATTTGCTAATTTTTTTTTAATTTTTTTTTTTTAGGTCAAGTTTTTTGTTATTGTGACGGACCGATCCGGTCCAACAAATCCCAACCTTCATATTGGACCGAGATCGGTCATTTGATCGGATCGCGATCATTTAACTTCCATATGTGCATTCATTCCATCAATGACAAGCGCATGATTAAAAGTAAAAAAAAAAAATTTTTTTTTCATTTTTTATAATATGAATAAATAAAATATTCGGAGTGAAGTTATGTTTCTTTTTGATTTTTGTTGTGATCATGTAAATAATCCCTGCATGAATTTATCAAACATAGGATCAGTAATCAAAAAAAAACCTATCAGATTCTATAATAAATTAGATAATTATAACGAATTCAAAAGAGAATCTCTTTTTCGACCTATCTTTGTTTTGCTTTTATATTATTTTTCTTCTTTTTCGAGTTCCATCACGAGATTTTAATTTCTTAAAAGTTTAATGGCCACTTCCCCGAAATTATTAGAATTCTTATCATGGGCAAAAGGTAATATCTCGTTTTAGTAGTGGGAAAATTCATATTTCAAATTCATGTTTTGTTAACTTTAAAACAAAAAAAAAAAATAATATCCCTCATAGAAAAAGGAGTCATTTCAGATATACAAGTACAAGATATACCGGATAAAGGATTGGGTTTTGTTACAAAGCGTAATGTTTCTCGAGACAACTCAATAGTAGCTTATATACCTTATAGCATATTACTTAACGCGACAAAGATTAATAGATACGCTAAAGAGAAAGCACCGAAATTAGAGGAAACGTTTAACGCATTAATGTCAGAGGGAAAGCATTTATCAGAACGCGATATATTCATACTTTTTTTATTATATGAAAGACTTGCTTCAGGAGGAGGAGGAGGAGGGGAAACATCATCATTATGGAAAGCATATATTGATATATTACCTCGTACATTACATACACCATTGTTTTATGATCCAACATTGAGGGCATGTCTTGATGGGACAAGTTTGAAACCTGCGGTAGATGCGAAATTTAACAAATTAAAAAAGGAATACGAATCATTAAGACCGATATTTAATAAATGGTCAAAGGTAGAAGATGCTGGAGGACATGATGTTGTCACATTTGAGCATTTTAGGTGGGCGGATGGTGTGTTTTGGTCAAGAGTATTGTCATTTGGTAGTAGATTTCAAACGATTGATTCAATTGAAGAGGATTTGGATGATTTCCATTTAGTACCATTCCTTGATTTCGCAAATCATTCTTTAACACCTTACGCAAGATGGGAAATTGGAGCGGAAGGAGTTGAATTAATTCTTACCAAAGATGATTCACTTGAACCCATCACTTCTGATACGGAAATTTGTATTTCTTATGGTGATAAACCAAATTCAGAATTGTTATTTGTTCATGGATTTACTTTATCAGACAACCCATGGTCCGCAATTTCATTCCCCGTTCCATTTTATGATGATGATGAATTGGCAAAAGCGAAATTAATATTTATGCAATATCATGGTATTAAACATTTAGTCTCCCTTACGAGGAAAAAAGGTGGTGCAGAATTATCTCATGATGCGACTAGAGCGATGTGGATATGTGTATTATCCGAAGAGGATGGTGTTAAATTTAAAATGAATCACAATGATCCTTCTCATCCGATTGATTTATTTATTGGAAATCAAATAATTCCAACGCTTGATGTCTTTGATAACGTTATTAATAGTATGGAAATATTACCTGTAATCGAATTTAGGGTTATGGAATCCGTATTAGAAAACGTTGAATATTTATTATCCCATCTTAAACAAACGAATGAACAAGTATTAAAAATGATGGAACATGGAAGAAATTCGCGTGAATTAGAATATGTAAGGATCTATAGGGAAGATGAATATAAATTTTTGGAATTTGCTGTTGAAGATTTTACAAGGAAGCGTGATGCCTTAATGGTCGATGACGTTGTTCAACGTTTTACACAATAAACTTCAAAATTATAAAAATGTTCTTTATTATTACAAAAAAAATAGATAATAAAATTTGTATTTTATGACATTCTGTTATTTTTTTTTTTTTTTTAAAGAAAAATTCATACATTCTTTTTTTTTTTCTTTGTAATTTTTCTAATTATAATAAAAAAATTACTACTCATTTATCTTTCCCGAAGTTTTATTCGATTGATTATCAGGACCGAAGAAAACGACGGTCACGGTAATGTCATCAATAAACCTTCTTGACATTGGAGAAGGAAGAGATAATAAAGCACATAATTGATCTTGTTTTGCTCCTCCGCATGCATTTCGAATTAAATGTGTGGAAGCATTTTCATCAACAAATGTAAACACTTTCTCTTGCATAGAATTTTCCCATTTTAATTCGTCTTCTTTAAAGTTAGAGGAATTCTCTTTTTCATCATCAATAATATCCCGTCTTCCATCCAGAAATTCCCCGACAAGTTCCACAACTTCTTCATTTGATAATGCATCCCATAGTCCATCAGTTGCTAATACCAAGAATTTAACATTTTCCGTTAATTTATGACTCGTTATCTCTGGTCTTGCCGTAACGTAAGGTGGAGACTTATTTTTACTTCCACCAGCTAACCCTCTTTTAATTTTAAAAAATTTAGTAAAAACCCCATCCTGCATTTTAACATCCCACTTATATTTTGAATCACCAAAAGCTCTAGTTGGTTCTAATCCTCCAAATACTCTACCATATGATATAATATTACCTTCTTCTCCCGGATGTTCCTTATCTATTCTTTTAACTTCATTTTCATTTCTTCCAGTTTGATCTTCAGTTAACACGACAGCTTTCCATCTTTTCCCTCCATTTTCGTTATCTGTTTCCCTTACACCAAGTACGGCTCTTGAATCTCCCGTGCATGCAACATATAAATCTTTATTGGCGGCATCAATATAAGCCAAAAGTGCGCAACTACCTGAGAAAGCTGATAATAAACACTCTTCAATAGAAAAAAGTCCTTTAGTGTTTAATAATCTATTTATAGAATGAATTATAATTTCATCATCTAATTCAACAAATGCTTTTTCTATCGCCGCCTTGGTTAATTCTTGATAATTTGATATTAAATTTGAATATTCCCCAGTTCCTTCAATCGCTTTATCCAAATGTTCTCTTACTTTTGGTATTAATGTTTTACTTAAAAATTTGGATGTGTTCCACCCTCCATGCCCATCATATACACCAAAGAATAACCTATCTCCCACCAAACTTTCAACCTTGTTTCTTTTTGGTGAATTAAAAACAAATTCTTCACTTTTCATATCCTCTATTGGATAATTTGATCCCAATTGATTAGAATCGTACCTCCATATTCCATTACTCCTTTGTAATAAAAAGGAGATTTGATTTTCTCGTAATTTTGCTGTCGCTTCTCTGGGTGACCTGATAATTGTACTATTCCTTCCTCCATCCTCTTCTTTATCGTTCAACGATGAGGAATTATACGTTTGTTGACCTTTTCTTTGAAAACCATAAAATAAAGTTATCACACCGATTCCCAGTAATGTCGTTGCTACACCATATCCATATTTCAAAGTACTATTCTTAGAATTTTCGGATTGCTTTTGATGTACATTGCGATAGGATACCCTTCGAAGTTCTTTAAAAGGTAACCTCAAAACTTGTCTTTTTAATAAAAACATTGAATAAATAAAAAAAGTAAAAAGAAAGATAAAAAATTTTGCGCGGATTGCGCTATATATGCTATTTGTGGGCTTATATGGTTAGGCTAAATTCGGAAACAACAATAAATGATATCGTAATCAGAATTTAAATTTTAACGTTTTTTTTTATGTTTATAATTATTATACTTATATGTTTAAAAAATTAGATTATCATATAATTAAGCACATTCAGCTTATATAAAATCATAATCATAAAAAAAAATTTCGACGAAAGGCTCATGCAATGATAATGTCATGAATAAATGTAAATTGCCATCAAGTTGATTAGATAAAGTTGTTGAATTTCATTTTAAAAATCATTTAAATATTTTGATTTCAATCACTATGACATGGTATTTGTATCTATTGAAATAAAAAAAACTATAAGTAAAATGATAAATAATGATAAAAAAATGTTGCCATTTATATCATCCTTCTGAATGTCTTGTGTCAAATACTAATCAGATAGTATTAGGTTAAGTAATAGATCTGTAATAAGCTTTAAAAACACGATTGTAGTGTGTTGTGCTGATGAATAAGATAAGCTAAATATTCTTTCAGTTCACTTTAAAAACTACCCTACCCTTAATTACATTAACTGTAGCGTGTGAAGCGTTAACGCCGTGATCATTACCCAAAAGACAAATACTCAAAGCATTACCAGACCCTATAAAAAGATTTATACCATTATCA